CTTCGGCAGGAATTTGTTTGTCGCGGAGGCGACGGGCAGCCGTGACAAATGACGGAGCACGGCCTTCGGGAGGAACAAGAAGCTTCGCTGGAAGCTGTCGCGCCAATGATGAAGGGGGAGGGGGAGGGGGAGGGGGAGGGAGAGGGCGGATAAGAGGAGGAGGACGAGGAGGAAGGAGTGTGAGAGACAGCGGCTGCAACAAAGTCTTTTGTTGCCCCGGAAACCGCCTCCACTGCTACTGCCACCACCTGCCGTCATCGGAGTCGTTTGTTCACCAGCATCATCGCAGAAGCTTATCAGGTAATGTGTCAGTACGATGCATACTATTCTTTACTATGATACCTGTACCTAGGTATTTCGGCCATACCTGTAAGTGGATTAATGATTTTGGTGGTGAGATTACGAAGATATGGGATGAACGATCATGAAACATTGGTGGAATGAGAAAGAGTAAAAAGAAAACCCTTAGAATATCTGCCGCAAACTTTGTGTACAACAAATTCCATATGTATTCTTCATAAATCAATAGGGATTTGAATGCCGGTTCTACCACAGGAGTGTGTTCTATCCGGATGTAATATCACTTGTCGCCTCGTGTCAGTACGACAAATAAAATGACATTATACGTATAAAAGGTTGTCTTTTAACTTCAATTAAGAGCAGCCCTTAAATTTTTACAAGGTTTCACTACATATTGTTCGAATATTTTACTCTTTGTCAACCGTTTAGAGACCTCACAGTGTTTGTGCAGGGGGAGGGGGAGGATGCCAACATCACTGTCCGTCACCATACTCATGTATGCATTTGTAAGAACCATTGCTCCGAAGGCTGAAATTGGCTGTTCCTCTTACGCCGCCGGCTGCATCAACTTCACAAAACAGTTCCAAGGACCTTCAAAACGCGGATTCCGGCTACAGCACGTGTTGGAGGACTTTTTTCTATATTTAGCAACTGGATTTAACCACTTTTTTGCTATCAGGGGCCGGCAATAATCGTTTCTGTGCCGAAAATTCGCCGTTTTCCGGCGCACGATTACAATATTTACTCTTCTTACGTTAGCAAATGCGAGAAAGTCAGTGATTGATTAATAAAATTTTAGATTCCCGATAAATTTAATAGAATCAGTTGAGTATTTATATTATAATTTAATAATTATTCCCGTTCCGTCTCTTTCCGCCAGAAATCAAGCTCTCGAGAATGTAATGCTGGCCTTACAGGAACAGTGCGCTTCCGCAATATCTGTCAGCAATTTGTTTCTGCTTCTTGCGGTCAACTTTACACTAGCAAGAGCAAGTAGAGGTAATATATTGTTGGAAAGATCAAAGCAAAATATTTCCGGCAAGATATTGCAGATCATTAGCATTTTTGTTGTCGTGTTTGCTGACGTCACGAGGAAAATGGCGCTTGAACTTAAGTGAGGTTATACCACAATTACTTGCATTATGGTTATACCGCACTTTTTTCGACACTGCGAGTAGAAGGCGGAAGATGCGAGTCGCGGTCGCACTCATTGCTCTAAATGAAGAGATGAAGAAGAGCCGAATATTGGTTTGAATTGAATTGAATTTATGCCTTATTTTACGTGGCGAGACTCAGGCCATGAGGCCTGCTCCTCCGTCTGACCACGCAAATTTCGCTACGCTCATTTCACCAGACTAGCAGAGAAAGGAGGTATTTATTGGGCGACGAAACAGGCGATTTGAATTTAGCTCAGAGGCGTCATTTAGGCTTGAGGATCTTTTACATGCAAGTAAATCTACTAACATAGTTTGTAGGTATGACTGGATTTTAGGAAGAAATGAAAGGGAGCTTATGCGAATGTGGTACTCGAGTCTGAACATTTTACATACAACAAAATTGTTTCGTAGACTTCACATCGAAAGCAAAGCAATTTACTATTTATAAAAAGTGAAATAATTAATTCGGTAAAGTTTTAAAACCTCCGTTATCTACCACTGATATATTATAGATAAATCTTAAAATTGATTTATATTAGAATAGTATCATATAATTTTCAACGTAAAAATTTAATTATCAGGGAATATCTATACCTGAACCATAATGTCAATCATTCGATAATCAACCAGAAAATTTAGAATATTTATTACTTCTTATTGCATTAAACCGTTTACATGGACACATTTTACGAAAAAACGCATATTAGGTGCAAATTAATACGTGTACGTAGCATTTCATACGCAATTCCTGCACATATGACCGTGGTCATCATTGGCTTCTCTCAGCAATATCTTGCTGAGACTTCATTCCAGTTCTCGTTCCAGCAATAGCATATCTATCAGAGGACGGAAAAACAAACAAACAAACAAACAAACAAACAAACAAACAAACACACACACACCAATGAAAGTTCCTTACTTTTTTCATTATGAATATCGTCAATATGCATAGTCATTAAATACTGAAAACGTATATCATATAATTACTGTATCACTTTATATTTAAATTATATAAAGAAGAGATTTTAGAGTTGTTTTGTGAATTAAATTCACATGTGATAGCCTCATTTTGAATTTTTGTTCGTGAAAATTACCGTTCTTTAATTTGTGCCTATTTGTGTCAATAAATCAATTTTCTGATCCGAAAATTCCGAGACTCACAACTTTTCCAACTACCGCACTTTTCCAATTTGCACCGACCTTTCGCGTATGATTACACAACTGACCTGTTTTGCAGTAGACGCAGACGAGAGCTCTAAAATTTGTGAGGAAAGAGCTCCAAGGATGGTAGCTCATGTTGGATGCAAGGGTATGGGATGGGCAAGGGTAAGGGGATGGGTAGATGAGGCCAGGTTTATCACGACGAAATGTAAAATGAACCTCAGAATAAACTAAAATTCGGAAAAACTTGTATTAGTAGTTCAGACTTCGTATAGTTAATATTAGTTTTATTATTTTAGCTGCTAGGAGGGGCAGGTACCTCCCCGCCTGCCCCTCGCAGGAAACGACCTTGGAAGCTGTGTCTGCCGCTTGCGGCGAGCGGTGGTGTTGAATCACAAACGAGCGCGCTTAGCATAGGGCGAATTTGCAAATTCATTATGTTTTTTAATTGACTTGCAGTGTGTATCGGCACCCAAAGGTTTGATCATGAGATTTATACAGGATATACTTCCGATGAAAGGAAGGATTAGGGCAGGTGTCTACATGTCACATCGCGGCATTCCCTTGTCAGGGAGATAAAGAAAAGTATTTCTGTATTTTTGGTGCCTTTCGGAAATCTCCCAAAGCCGTGCAAAGTAGAGCCAACGGATTCGCCTGATGAATGTTATTAATGAAGACATAACGGAGATTTATTTTACTTCCATTGATTCTTTTGGACGAAAAGTGAATTCAGTACCTCGAATGAATGTAAAAAAACGAGGGCGTCGTCGGGGCGATAATCGAAAGGGCAATTCGACTTAGGGATCGCCAAGGTCGCTGTACTGCCCACCCCCCTGCACCTGCTTCTCGTAGAACTCAGGATTTCGTATTCTTTTGTCCTGTTGAATAGTTTGAATATTATCCTCCTGATATGTGCAAATGTTGAATAATTTTCCTGAGGTGCTTCTGTTTCCTCTCCCTATATTAAGATTAATTAAATACAATTTTAACCTAGATTAAGTTAATTAAATTAAGTCATCAAGCAATTGCAAAGTTTTTATTGTAAACTGAACATTGTACTTCAACAAACAATTAAATAAAATTTAAAAAAAGGTTGAATAATATGAATAGTTTGAATAATTAATTCAGCAAATACCAACATATGTGAAATTAATCATTTGTCTTCTCAAGACTTCTCTATATAAAAACGTAGTGTTCCGTACAAAAACTTCGATAAATCAATAGCTTTAAAATAAAAAATTCTATCAAAACTAATATGTAAAAATGATCATAACGTCCACTAATCTTTGTTCAACAGTTTTGAGAGCAGATTGGATTAGGAAAATATAGAACGCCCATTTTCTTCACTTGCTGCGGCTCTTTTGGCACTGCTTTTAGTATGTTTGGCTAAGCTTCACTCGCCATCGTGGAGCACAATGTTAGAAGAGCAAACGTCGCGCGGCCAGTGCTACGCGTCAAGGCCGCTTCCCCAGGGTCATCGCTTTCGTGAGGGAGCGCTTCCCCCTCGTCGCACCAAACTCTGGCGGCCTCCGCGTTCCGAAGGAAATTCTTTATTACAGGCCGACTACTCTCGTTTCCGTAGTTTTCTTCGATCAATTCCTGGCGAACGTCGCAGCACTAGTTTCAAGATTACAGAAGTAACGACGGCGGTGGGGAGGAGTGGCTGTCAACAGGATATTTACAAATTGGAATGAGCATTGTATCAAAACATCAGATGTTGAGATGTCAAGAACAGTGAAATGCAGAAAAGCGAAAGAATGAGCAAATCTCTAGTGAGTCGTGAAGAGAGTGGAAACGGCAAAGTGAATTGGAAGAAAACATCTAAATCAAGTGTAAATTACTGAAAAATGTTGTATTCGACCCCCAAAATGTATACGATATCCACAGAACAATACCTCAAAACTTAAGATCTTCAAGTTCATAGCTTCAGATGATTTTTAATTGTATTACCGAAAATATTATTATTACATTGAACTTAAGAGAATTAAATTAACATAATTTGAAGAAGTATCCAGATAAATTTGAGAAATTACATTAACACTTTATATATTTTCTTGTAAATGAAAAAAACAACATTCCAAATCAACATTCCACATACTGTGAATATGCAGCAAACAACAAATCAAAAACATATTTTGTTAGAAAGTGTCATTTCAAGTGCATAAAATGTACAATACCAGGTTCTACATAGGATTAGTATTGAATTATGATTCAATCTATTACGTACTAACGTACTCTTGAAGGACGATAATTTGTGTAATATATATTCATAAATGAAAAAATGAGAGTACTAGTCACGTTTATTATTTTCTGTCGTACTATATCCAACACAAGTACACATTCAAAAGTAAATCAAATAGATCTATATTTACAATAACTTACCCCACGTAGATCTCCAGAAGGACATGCTAGTTCACACAAAATAATGTTGAATGAAAATGTAGCACACACGCACATTGAAATTACACTTTTAATAAACCACACCGTTTTGCATTTTGGCACGAAATTGCTACACAGACACTACATTTCACGCCACACGTTTCTGTCGCGATCGCTCGTCGCACTCAGAACTTTCTGACTGTTCCGCTACAGAGCGCTCACTTCACGAATTCTCAACCATGGAAGTTGAACTGCTGAGCGCACGGAGGTCCCTGTGGTTGTCGACTACCGAACCAGAAACGCTACTTAGCGCAACCAATAAACGAGTAAATGAATTAATAAATTTAAATAAAACTATTGAAACTACAAGTAAGTCACACACATATATGTATTGTGCCTATTCAAATGGTAGCAAATTATGTCACTAACATGGATGTAACGACTGACAGGATGAAACATGACGTGATTATTGTCTCTTGAAAAGATTTTATGTAAGACGGTGGAATGTACAATACAGATAAAAGTATTTCTCCACAATTTCTTTTAGTAAACAATTGTTGGAAACGAAACGAAATATCAAAGAATTATATTCAAGTAATTAAACAATCTGATATTAAAATTATATTAAGTATTATTTTCCTTATAACTGAATATAGATGGAGGATTCCGCTCTTTACGTACCAAGACCGAACGAGGCTCTTATCCTTTATCGTAATGAACGAAACCCAATTGACTCTCTTCCGCGAGAACATGGCGAACGACAGCACCACGCCAGCGCGTGCGAAATGCTTCGTATTAACAAGTTCAAACTTAAGGCACCATGGCGCTTTCCTAGGCTTGTCCAACGACTCGGCATGGCTATCTGCTTCGGCCTACGCGATTATCAATATATATATATATATATATATATATATATATATATATATATATATTAAACGGAGTATTAAGGCTAAATGTCCCGTCACTAGTACAATTTGTAGTCACCGCGTGTCAGCACCAAAATAAGTAAAATTTACTTTACCGTTAACGTCTGAACCAATAGTCCGATTTTTGATCTGTAAACGGAATTTGACGCCTTTAAAATAGAACTTACGCTACGATTACCTTTTTCCAAAAATCTAACAAAAACGCGAATTTGAAATTAGTTCTCAAACTTCCAAGAAAAAAATTAAAAATGTGGCCTAATAGCGCGATGGCGACATGCTTCCTGAATCCAACGCCATGACAATCATGCAAATCGGACGAATAGGAGCGTCGTAAAGTGAAATTTACGAAAACACCTCGCCCCCCCACGTCCCATTCTGCGCCGTTGCGTCACCCACCTGCCCGTTGTGGGCCCTCTGTCAGAGCGGTGGCATGGCCAGGCTCGGCGGTTAAAGCGGTGCTACGTCTAAGATTAATTTTTATCTCTGCGAATAATTCAGCAATTAAAAAATAACAGTATCCTTATTCAGCTTTATGGGTACCTGCCTGCTATGACGCAGTTATGCTCGTATTAACAAATAAAAGAGTTGACACCCTTCTGATCATCTTCTTCTCCTCTACTCCAAAGATGGGTTCATGACCTGTTGTGACTTCTACCAATTTCATTTATATAACGATCTGCCTCTGTGTCTTCTACCTCGCGTTCTAAACATTAACGCTTGTCTGTCCCATGTATCGAAGTCATTCCTCCCTTCACTCCCTGAAGTCAGAAAGATAGTATTTTGCCATTGATAGCTTGAACAATTCATTTTCATCTTATTTCGCGTCGCGCTTCTGGCCTCTAGTCCTATGGCGAGAGAGACAACTCTCATAGTCGAGGCTTGCGAGAACAAGCACGAAGATTTCATTCGTTATCGAATCCCACCAAGCGATTTTCGTCGCTAACTTATATACCGCTAGTTCACGTGACAGTGCCCGCGCTCAAGAATCGCCGGTCTGCAAACACTTTTTTTTTTTTTTTTTTTTTTTTTTTTTTTTTTTTTTTTTTTTTTTTTTTTTTTTTTGTACGTGTACAACGAATTCCGCTGGCTAGGTGCATTCCGAGAGCTGCGCCCAGACTAACGCCCGCACTCGGGCACTTGAACTGCAACACCTGCACTTGGCCCGAGTTTCTCAACCGTTTGTTCTGTGTACAGACCGTGTCATTATATAACATAATTATAATTGAACTAAAAATATAGGAATATTTTGTTTCTCTACGAAAAGCTCAATGTGTGTTTGTGTGAGAGAGAGTGTGTGTGTGTTATTTGCCTGTAATAGATCTAAAATGAAAACTATAATAATTATTAAGAAATATGTAACGTAATTTCATCCATCACTTTAAGAGATCAAATTTTACAAAGAGAAATATCAAGATTGTAGGAAGATAAATCATGGAACTCTACAATATACCGATGACGCAGCAATCCTGGTGCCAGCGTGATTATCCCTTCTCCCTTGCGCTCGAGCAAGCAGTATATTTTCTGGAACTTTTGGATTTTTTCATCTAGATCTACCTCTGTAAAACAGGTTATATTATTTTTAAAATATTTTAAAATGTCATACTTTTACATGTCATACTTTTCAAGAAGTGCGTATAATGTTTTTCCGTAAATGTCATCACTTTGGTCTTTGTGTTTGAAATGTTTAAATAATATCCTTTGTGATTTTGATAAAATTAATAAACAGACTTTGTAAATTATATTATCTTTTAGGATCAAAATTATTTTTGTATGAAAGTTCATAAATATCACGCAATCACGTTTCGGTCGTTTAGGAATGTGCCGCACATTTTTTCAGCATGTTATCTTCAGATGCAAAAAGACGAACAACAGTGTGAACTGTTGGGTTGCCATAAATAATCTAGTGACTATATGATATAGTTACCATAGGGTAAAGTGAATGAGAAACGAAATAAAATAAAGTTTATAATTCTATCAAAAGATGAAAAAGAATTCGTGCACACACACACAGGGAGTGACTGACTGACTGACGGACGGAGTGACTGACGGACGGAGTGACTGACGGACGGGCTCTCTGATGGACGGGCGGACTGACGGATAGACGGACCGACGGATTGACAGACTGACGGATGGACGGACTACGGACGGCCTGACAGACTAACGGACGGACAGATTGTCTGACAGACGGACTGACAGACTGACGAACGGACCGCCTCACGGACGGGCTGACTGACTGACGGTCGGACTAACGGACTGGCTGACGAACGAACTGACGGACGGACGGACTGACTGACGGACGGACGGATGGACGGACGGACTAACGGACGGACGGACTGACGGACGGACGGAATGACGGACGGACTGGCGGACGGACAGACGGACAGATTGACGGACAGACTGACAGACAGACTGACGGATGGACTGACGGACGGACTGACGGACGGACTGACTGACGGGCTAACTGACGGACAGACTGACGGAAGAACTGACAGAAGGACTGACTGACAAAATAGTCAAAATAGTCAAAATAGTCAAAATAGTCAAAATAGTCAAAATAGTCAAAATAGTCAAATAGTCAAAATAGTCAAAATAGTCAAAATAGTCAAAATAGGTCAAAATAGTCAAAATAGTCAAATAGTCAAATAGTCAAAATGTCAAAATAGTCAAATAGTCAAATAGTCAAAATAGTCACATAGTCAAAATAGTCAAGCAATAGTCAAGAGTCAAAAGAGTCAAGGAGTTCAAAAGAGTCACAAGAGTCAAAAGAGTCAAAAGAGTCAAAAGAGTAAAGGAGTCAAAAGAGTCAAAAGAGTCAAAAGAGTAATAAGAGTCAAAAGAGTCAATAAGAGTCAAAAGAGTCAAAAGAAGTCAAAGAGTCAATAAGAGTCAAAAGAGTCAAAGCGTCAAAAAGAGTCAAAGAGTCAAAAAGTCAAAAGAGTCAAAAGAGTCAAGAGTCAAAAGAGTCAAAAAGAGTCAAAAGAGTCAAAAGAGTCAAAAGAGTCAAAAGAGTCAAAGAGTCAAAAGAGTCAAAGAGCAAAAGAGTCAAAGAGTCAAAAGAGTCAAAAGAGTCAAAGATTCAAAGAGTAAAAGAGTCAAAAGAGTCAAAAAGAGTCAAGAGTCAAAAGAGTCAAAAAGAGTCAAAAGAGTCAAAAGAGTCAAAGAGTCAAAAGAGTCAAAAGAGTCAAAAGAGTCAAAAGGTCAAAAGAATCAAAAGAGTCAAAGAGTCAATAAGAGTCAAAAGAGTCAAAGAGTCAAAAGAGTCAAAGAGTCAAAAGATGTCATAATAACTCAGGATGTCAGAATCGATCTTGCAGGGTCGATCCCCTAATTGATCGACGTGCTTGGGTCGATCATACGTTGAATGATTTGCTGGTCGATCCCTACATATCGACTTGCTGGTCTGATCCTATTTGATCGACTTGCTTGGGGTCATCCCCCATTGATTGACTTGCTGGTGATCCTAATGAATCGACTTGCTGGGTCCATCCCCCATTAGATGACTGCTGGGTCGATTCTCTACTTGATGACTTGCTGGGTCGATCCTTCACTTTGTTTCGACTTGCTGGGTCGATTCCTAACTATATCGATTGCTGGGTCGATCCAGATTTGATCGACTTGGCTGGGTCCCAAAAATACAGACGACAGACACAGGCACACAGTATTAGGCTGTCCCGGGTGACGCGCGTCGTTGGTCAGATAGGCCGACATTTCGGCGCTGTCATGTCGCAGGCTCTTCAGGGTAGTGAGACGTAAGCCTCGCCTGCCGATGTTATAATTCTTTTCCGCTTAGTGGGTCCGGGTAAAGAAGTGCGCCGTATTGGCGGAGAGGTTACCTCTGATTGGGTGCGTTTGGGCCAACCGGGCCTTGGACCCGCGTCCTAGAGATGGAGATGAGGAACAGCTCTGAAGTAATGGACTCGAGCCGCGGAGGCCTACGTGTACAGGCAACAGAACGACAGACACAGGACACAGTAGAACCGACAGACAACAGAACATTCCGTCCTTCAACTCGCGAACGAGGAAAGTGAGGGAAATCGGGGAAGGTTGGCTTTCGACGAAGTTTCATCGGTGCGCTTGTTGCGAAGGCGGTTCCCGAGATGCACTTGTGACTACGCCTCTCGAGCAAACAAGCGAGCGCAACACTGGTGAAGGCATTGTTCGCGCGCGAAAAGCTCGCCATCGTACTATGCGAAAGAGGGGAAACTTGACATTTTCGACGCGAGCTGCATTACTGTACATTGGGAGAACATTTTATCTGCGTAAACTAAAAGTAAATTTAAATTTAGAATTTCGTTGGTTTTTTTATGCAATGTAGCCGCAGTTATCTACAGTGGTAAATTTTGTTTTTTAATATTTATTTAATTATTATTATCTATTAATATTATTAATTATTATTTATTATTATTATTTCTATTCAACATTTTATTCAAAAGCACGGAAAATAAGGTTTGAACTGTGAGATCGGAGTCGCTAGGACAGACTGCAATACTTTCACAATCTTGTTGTACATGACTAACTAGCAGATAAAAAGGATAACAAAAGCTTTTTGTGACTGGACCCAACGTTAATTCTTAAAATTAGTACATGACGTTTTGTGACATGAAAAATGTGAATTATAAAAAATGAGTGGTTGTCTCTGCGACTTCTAGCCTGAAGAGTGTTGCACTTTATTGAAAGAAATGTTTACCAAACTCAATTCATTGACATTTTGTAGTTGAATTCAGTGCAGTATCTCTCTATAAATTGAAGTTTTTTAGTACCTGAGATAGTACAATGCAAAAGCATTTTACACAATTCTGAAACAATTACTTTTGAGCGCTGAATCTGAAAAGTGTTACCTAAGTGGTATCGATTTTTGACGCTTCATCTTCGCAAGGCTGGCAATTTGACAATAATCTTTCTTGAATAGTGAAGGATCAATTCAATTAGCAGCACAAATATATTATATAATATATATATTATATATATATATTATATATATATATGATATATTCCAAAACTTAAATAAAATCACGTATTTAAATATTACTGTATCTGTCGTACATACGAGGTAGAATAGAATTGCAGAAGTATAGCAGTGTAAGTTTATTCAGCATATTGACGTGTTTTTGCAATTTTGCCGCTACGCGAATCAGTCGAGAATAGTATATATGGCTTTGACAACATTGTATGAGGTTCAATATCACGTTCACTAATATAATTGTTTCTTGTTCTGAGAAGACATGAACTCAATAATTGAGTGATCATTTATTTTGTGTGACTTTTGGTGAACCGTATGGGCTCTGTTCGTAGTAAAGGCCAACAATCCGTTAAGCTAGGGAAAATATAAGTTCGTTATAAGAAATGTGACAAAGAAATGAATTCCGGGCGTTCTTAACAACGCTGCACAACAGCAATTTTCGGGGTGTAAAGCTATACTGGAAGTATTGTTTTTCGATATCTGGTGAACATTCAATTAAAAAGAAAGGTTTCAAAGCCTGTGGGGCAGCCCTTAAGTACTCCGGTAAGAAAAGGCATTATTGTGAGAGATTACAAAATTACAGATTGATGACCATCCACTGTATTGCTTGTTTTGTTTTCTTTATTCTCGTATGATGTTTTAATTTCTTTGCTATGGATACTTGGCGTAATATATTTGGGACAGCTAGTAGTGCCATTAGGCGAGGGCGTTCAGCTTTCAAGAAACATTTGACGATTCGATCCGCCTCGCAACGAGTTCAGCTCCCAAATGAAATGAGGTGGCTCGGGGATGAACAGACGAAAGTAGACACGTGGACATGGAGCAGGAAGTGTAAAGCGGAGAAAAACACTGAGTAAGGCGAGCCCGATCAGTGAACTTGGTGTGGAGCATTCTCCACGTTCTCTAATTTGCGACCACTGTCCCAGTCATATTGGACTCGGAAAATCCAGGGGCCCCCTCCCACGGTCATTTACGCGAGTCTGGCTCGTTTGTGCCTAGCCTCTTGATCCAGTCTTTGCCGGCAGGTTGCGATGAAAGACATGACCGCCGCGATTGCATTTGGAGCAACAACCTGTCAAGTAGTTTTTCAACAACTCGACCAGACTGAATCAGAACTTCAGGAAATCAAGATTTTCTGCGTTAATATAAAGAGTTTCAAACAAAAATCTTGGAAACACAGCATCGAAGTGGAAGATTCGATGGATTATATAGTAAGATTAAGCATACTACAGTGTAACAATTATTTTGGTTTTTTTACCCCACACGCCGTGTTATTTATTATTATTTTATTATTATTATTATTAATTTTATTATTTTATTATTATTATTATGTACAACGGGATTCCTATTTTTTTCTTTCAAACATTATATTTCTCTGCAAGAAAGCAAATGATCAGCGAAAGTCAGATACGCCTAACGGGTTCAGCCAGACTAGGAAGAATAAATAAAAGAGTTTATTCCTAAAACAGCGAAGAAGTGGAGACATAAACAAATGAAGATCTTAAGAAATTTCCAGAATTATCCGAAATATGATCTGGTTCGTAACCAACACTGGGCCGAAAGTTAAGGAACGAGAACGACAAATAAATACAACAAAAAGAGATCAAGCGATTATATGTTAAGAATCGAAGAAGTAAGGGCTTACAAATAGAGTAGTGAATAAATAATAGATGATTATGAGATAAGAACGCGAGATGAAGAAATGAATGGGCGACAAAACAACTGAAAAATGGGAAGTCCCCGGCTGTAGATAATATTCCAATTATTATCTACAGCTAATTCAAAGATACAGAGGAAGAAATTTCGGCGAAACTAACACAATTATGAATGTATCTGAAAAGAAAAGAGTGACCAACAGATCTGCAGGCACAATAATTTTTCTCTTACAGAAGAAAGGGATCAGCCACGATTGTCAAGAAAACAACACTTTGCATGATACTTTGTGATCGTCAATCGGCAAACGGTCATCCCTCGGGGAAAAAGAAAAATACGAATTTTAAATTGGTTTGTAGATGAAGGCTAGTTTACTTTTTAAGATTTTCAAAACATTCACATTGAACAGAACTTCATTTCGATCTCCTCTGGAAGTTGTGTAGATTACATTAACGTCGCGTAAGCGTTAGCGTAAAGATATCTAGACCATACTCGAGAAATGATTTCGCTTCGTTTTAAACTCGTTTGAATGTTCAATTATTTATATCTTGTGTCGATATGTACGAATGAGTCCACGTCTAACTGGTTTTGATACTACAATTTCTACAGATAACTAGTTTTCTGAAAATAACTTTTTATAAAACAAAAGAAATGAAGGGAAAACACACTCGCAAATGCAAGAAACATCTAGGAGTTATCCAATTGCTTTATTTACCCTTTTATTCATTTACGTAGTCTGTATGAAATGACTCACCAGAATTATTTATTCCTTTCAAAATTATACAAATATAACAAATTATATTTTATATCAAAATACTTACAAGTAAGCTGGGAAAAGTCATGATTCATACTGATCGTTATTCGATGCTTGTTGCGGCGTTGGAGTTAGGATACAGCTTCGCAGAAACGCTATTTTACCATTTTTTTAATTTGAAGTCGTAGGCTCCTAGGCAGAGTCATTGTGCATATCTGGTCCTGTTTCCGGGTGACGCCGCGTCCGAGAAGACAAAATGGTCGAAAGTCGGCAAACAGCTTTCGAGCGCGACGTCACCGGACGCAAGATTAATGCTTTTTTTAAAAATTTGTCTGAAAGTACGAAAAATTTAAAAATTAAGCTTCCGGCTATTTTACTTGGGAAAAGAGATTACACCAGATGACTCTTTAAAGCAGGTAACTTCGTTTGGATCAAAATCGAGTTGTTGATAAAAGAGCTCGTGCGTATACTCCGCTCATTTTTCGGTATTTGAACAACGGAAGATCTTAGACGCAAGGTGGAGTGATACCAGAAGACCTTAGAAGTAAAATATATATAAAGTAAGAAGTGAGGAAGCATGGAATAATGCTGATATTTACACATTAGTTTCTTTTTTAAAAAATAGTTAAAAATCGGAATCATATTTAGGTATGCATAAAAAATTTTAAAATGGTATTCGGAAGGAAGGGGAAATATGTGAAATGATAGTTACGTACTACTATTGCAGACCGTTTATTTCTCGGCCGTTTACCTAACACATCTCTAGTTTTGATATCCGTGGACAAATAGATTGAGATGCAAAGTGAAGAACGCATAAACCGAGTGTGTGGCTTGCTTGTCCCGCATGTACCGCCTCCTCCGTCGGGGCTGGCCGTGCCACCGCGCAGACAGAGGGCCCACAACGGGCGGGTGGGTGACGAAACGGCGCAGAAGGGGACGTGGGGGGGCGAGGTGTTTTCGTAAATTTCACTTTAAGACGATCCTATTCTTCCAATTTGCATGATTGTCACGGCATTGGATTCAGGAAGGATGTCGCCATCGCGCTATAAGCGCACATTTTTAAATTTGTTCTCGGAAGTTTGAGAACTAATTTCTAATTCGCGTTTTTGCTAGATTTGGACAAAGGTCATCGTAGCGTAAATTCTATTTTAAAAAAGGGGTCAAATGCCGTTTACAAATCGAAAATCGGACCA